ATTACTAAGCCTTTATTTGTGCCAAACCACCTCCTCTGGTGAGTACAACGAAAGCTCTGATGTCTCCTCTTCATTCTGCAGCTACAGCGAAGCCTCTGAACAGTTAATACTGTACCCCTGCTCAATCTGCTGAGAGCACATGCCTGGAATACTGATTCCATTGCTTAAGGCCATTTCATAAGTCCCCCAAACAGACTGCCATTAGGATCATTTCTCTCTCCAGAGCTGGCAGTTAATGACCATTCTACTTCTAGCTAGGAAGGGAGCAGTTACTTCCTGGCAGTGTGTCTTTAGGTCAGCATGATTTTAGCATTTCCCATGGATAAACAAATAGTATTTTAGTTTGTATTTATTAGATTAGAAATGGAATGCTCTGAGGGTATACTATCCTATTACTTTGGCTTAGGTCTTTTTCACTCAAATATCCTCCTTTCAAAGTTATCTGTCAGTGTTCTATTAAAAAAACCCACCATAACTAAATATGTTTGTTCCTCTTCTAGTTTAAAAAACACACAAGAGAATTATTCTTTAATTTTCAGTTCTTTCAAAGTCCTTCTTGGGGTAAGAAAAGTCTTATTTCAACCAGAAATAAGCAGATACCTGCAACAACTCTCAAAAGAGATGTACAAAAGAAAAACGTGGCTTCTTATTCCAAAAGTCATTAGAGCTTTTTTCCTTTTTCTTTTTAAGGTACCCAGAACTATTGCATCGAGCCAAAACGACCAGTTCTCTTCACAGAGGAGAATGGCAATTGGCTGTTATTAAATTCTTACAGCAATGAGCAATGACTTGCATTCTCGTTCTGTTTCTCTTTAAATAGTAGGTTAAGTTGATTCTTTTCCCATCACCACATTCCTGACACTCGATCTATATAGCTGCTAATATGCTGCACACATATTAACGCAGTAGTTAATTGCAACTGAATTCAACCTTAACAAACTATGCAGTTAACCTTTCTGTTTACTCCAAGTCATTTCCTATCTTGTTAGTGAAATCAATTTTTCCTCCTTTCTAAACATAATAATTTTATCTGGTACAAAAACTATATGTATAATCCATTGGTTTTTTTATTTTTCCCCCCAAGAGTTTCAGGAGCCACGGGTTCTCATTTCTATTGGAGAAAGACATGTCTATTTGTGGTAATTCCAAAAGGTGGCTGCTATAACTACTTTACAAATACAGTTATTACCTCTTATGTATTTGGGGAGGCCAAATGTCACCTTTATTCTCAAAGAAAAGTTAATCCCTTTGATTAAACACAGGTGAAAGATGATATTTTCTGGAGTAAAATATTGGAAACCATACCAAAGGATGTTTTGTTATAACTAGCTGTATTCAAAGGTACTCCTCCATACTCATAACTTGCCCCCACCCTTTTGTATTGTAAATTGCCAGTTAATCATCTGTACCCCTTCAAAGACAGGAAGCTCCTGGAAGGCAGGGATTATATCATAACTAGTAGCCCTGCGCACAAATTCGTGCGCCAGTAGCTCGCTGCCGCCCTCTAGTAGCTCTCCACCTGCTACCCTGCCCTCCTGTAGCTCCTCCCCCCCCCGCCCCCCCCTCATAGCCTGCTGCCCTGCCCCCTCCTGTAGCTCTCTGGTACCCACTTGTAGCTCTCTGCCCCACCCTCCTGCTGATCTGTGATCCAGGCGTTACGTGGTCAGTCGTTACACTTCACAGTGTAATGACCATTTGCATATTACATCTTTATTATATAGGATGGCTGTTTTATCTGCAGGACACATGGTCTGGCAGATGGTACACAAAAAGTATGTGACAGTATTAAAATCAGCTCAAAAGTCCAATTCTTTTTTTTTTTTTAATATATTTTATTGATTTTTTACAGAGAAGAAGGGAGAGGGATAGAGAGTTAGAAACATCGATGAGAGAGAAACATCGATCAGCTGCCTCCTGCACGCCCCCCAGTGGGGGTGTGCCTGCAACCAAGGTACATGCCCTTGACCGGAATCGAACCTGGGACCCTTGAGTCCGCAGGCTGACGCTCTATCCACTGAGCCAAACCGGTTCAGCAAAAGTCCAATTCTTAATAAGCCACACAGTGTTAGACAAACTGGCACACCCATTGCCCCAATGTTTATGGAACAAGTTGTGTGTGTGTGTGTGTGTGTGTGTGTGTGTGTGTCTTTTATTAGCCCCAAATGCCTAAGGGTGTGTGTTTTATTTTTATTTATTTATTTATTTATTTATTTAGTTAATCCTCACTCGAAGATATATTTTTCCATTGATTTTTAGAAAGAGTGGAAGGGAGGGGAGAGACAGAGAGAAACATCAATGTGAGAGAGACATAGGGACTGGTTGCCTCCCACATGCACCCCACCCAGGCCAGGGATCAAGCCTGTAACCAAGGTATGTGCCCTTGACTGACTTGAACCCGGGACTCTTCAGTCCCCAGGTTGACACTCTAACCACTGAGAAAACCAGCCAGGGCTATGGAACAAGTTTTAATCAGACATTATCACAGTTCAAATAGATATGCCTACTTTTAAATATCTAATGATCTCTATCTAAACACTGAATATCACCCTAGCTCAGGGGTCCTCAAACTTTTTAAACAGGGGGCCAGTTCACTGTCCCTCAGACCGTTGGAGGGCCGGACTATCATTTAAAAAAAAAACTATGAACAAATTCCTATGCACACTGCACATATCTTATTTTGAAGTAAAAAAACAAAACGGGAACAAATACAATATTTGTATTTGCATGTGGCCCGCGGGCCGTAGTTTGAGGACCCCTGCCCTAGCTGGTTTGGCTCAGTGGATAGAGCATTGGCCTGTGGACTGAAGGGCCCCAGGTTCGATTCCGGTCAGGGGCACATGCCTGGGTTGTAGGTTCCATCCCCAGTCGGGGGCGAGCAGGAGGCAGCCAATCGATGAATCTCTCTCATCATTGATGTTTCTATCTCTCTCTCCCTCTCCCTTCCTCTCTGAAATCAATAAAAAATATATTAAATAAAAATAAACACTGAGTATCTTTATGGGAGGCAGCAGAAACAATTTTAATTTGTGAGTTTTGAATTTTTGTTCTGATTCAAACTATATTACTAACTAGCAATAATCTTTGGCAAATCACTTTAACCTGGTTGGATCTTGTGTCATTAGTGTGGAACGGGATTAAAGAAATGATCTCCAATTACCCAGTTCTAAAACTCTGATTCAGCATGAACCAATACAGGTACTACTGCTATGGAGATACAAGATATAGCAAGGCCTTGCCAACACTAGAGGGAGCTACACTCATGTCATCACCGAGCTGGTTAGGGAGATTTTAAAACAAAGCATCTTTAAATGGAAAACTGACTTAACAAAGTGACAAAAATTAAATATCAAGTGAGAAATCCATAATGTTCATACAACCACCACCCCCCCCCACACACACACACACACAGGCTCTCTGCTGGCACCTCCCTCTTACAGACATCAAAGCACTTCACATCAACACATCATCTGTGTTTTTATTCTAATTCCAAAAGAACCAAGTTGATTTGAATCATTCCTACAGATTTCTTTTCCCACTCAGTCTATTTTCTTTCTTAATCAAATTAACAACAGGAAAGCAAAATAATTAACTATACTACTGGAAAGTCTCCAAGGAAATGAGATAGAGGAAGAGAAAGATTCATATCACACTGAAGCTGTGGCCTGAGAAAATCAGTAGTTAATTGCAACTAAATTCATTAGCAGCCTGTCACTCAAACCCAAAACTACCATAAATACTTTGAAAACAAGAAAAATATTTAAAAAGAGGAAAGATACAGTATAAGGAAAAGAAGGAATCAATGTAACTCAGCAATGTGGGAGCTGGAATGTTGGCCTAAGTCAGTGGTTCTCAAGCTTGGCTGCACATTAGAATCACCTGGGAATCTTCTTAAAATCCTGATTTCTGGGCCTCATCCTCCGGAAATTCTGCTTCTTTGTTATGGGGTGGGGCCACAACATTAGTAACAAAGAAACAGAATTTCCGGAGGATGAGGCCCAGAAATCAGAATTTTAAAAAGATTCCCAGGTGATTCTAATGGGAGTCAAGGTTGAGAACCACTGGCCTAAGTGAATGCTGTCATTGCCCTGTTGGGCTCTGCAGCTGCTGAAGAGTGATGTCAGTACGTAGAGGCAACTGACAAGAAAACTGTCAAGGGACAAAATGAGATAAGGGCATGAAGGACAAGGACAGGGTATGGAAGAAAAACGAAAAGTATTTCCAAAGCTAAAGCTGATTATATGCATTTTCTCTCTCCCAGCTCCAAAGAAAACATCCATGGCCCTGCAAATGTATGACCTAAACCATTATAGAACAAGCGAAATGCAGAATCAAAAACCTCTCCACTGGCATCAACTTATGTTTCTCTTTGCCCGGAAACGAAATGGCATGTTAACCTGATAGAGAAGGCATAAACTGTGGACATTACAGAATGTGGTCTGTGGAAGAAAGATAAATGCAATCCTGAAAAGCTCCTTTTATTTAAATTTCATGGATTAATTTAACATGGAGAAAGCAAAGCCTCAACAGTCAGAACTAAACTACCTACTTTTTAGGGCATGAGCTGTTCCTGAGTAAAAATAGATTATGAAACAACTTTGGAGAGTCACTTCGTGGGAGAAAAGAAAACTTCTAGAACAAGACAAACAATTCTATTTTCACTTAAAAAATGCAAACTCAGACCTCCAAAGATAAAAATAACAGTGTAAAACTCACCAGGTTAAAAACCAACTTATTCCTATGGATCCAAGTAGTTGGATTCTTGTTGCTTAAATCATCAATTTCAAATACTCTAGAGATACCACAGCCTTAACAGAGTCAAAAAATTTCTCTTTTCTTTTAGGACATTAAAAAAAGTGTTTTTAAGTAACCCTTTCAGTCAATGAGCCTCATGGGAAGAATAAGAAATATATACTTTACTGTGAAAAAGAGAACGACTTGTTTTCCTTGCTTATTTAGGACACAGGTCAATGGATTTCTAATTCACTCTCTTTCTTACTGACCTTTAAGATGTTTCTGCCATCAAATGATTCTCTTTCTTTGAAGATATATTTGCCATCTGCTGTGTGGATATTGTACCTGCCTTCAGCTGTAAATATAACAAAGAAAATGTCAGAAGAGAAGCCTGGGCTATTTATGTTTGTTTTCTCTTGGGTTTCTATAAGTACAACTAGCAAAATATCCATGTACTATCTGGAAAGTGGCATAATATGGAGGGAAAACATCACAGTATTAGTCAAGAGACCCAGTCTCTAGTCTTAGCTCTGTTATCAACACATTCAGTATACATTTATTCATTCAACATTGTTCAAGCAGTCACTGTACGTTACCTATGTAACTAGCCATATTCTTAGTCAAAGTTACTTAGTCAAAGTTACTGGTTAAGACTGGGTGATCTTCAAAGGCTCCTCACAGTCTAAAAACCCAGGATTTTATAAAAGCTGCATGTATTTTTAATATATAAAAATACACAAAAGTTCACACATTAACTAGTCAAAAATGCTGACAACCATGCTTTGGGTTGATTTTGGAACCCCCCCTAAATGAGGAAGACCCCTTTAGTTGCAATCAAAGGTATCCTAATAGACATTCTACACAGAAATGTAGCAAATCTATGACCTTAGCCTCATCAAAGCTGCACTCTAACTCCTTGATTTAATTTAGCTTGCTTATCCCAAAAGATGTCCTTAAAGTATGGCATGAAAAGGAATATCAAAAGAAAGGGATAACAGGAAAGAAAACATAAAACCTAATTCTACGTCCCTTTCAAGTAAAAACTCAACACAAAGAAGAATACAGGGTATAGAAAAATCAAAGCATCCTCAAGAATTATTTAACTCTGAAGATATTTTCCAAAAATATCAACCCTTTCCTGTCCTAAAAAATATCTGCATTTCCATTTGTGAGTATGGTCTTTTACTGTATATAGGTATGGGGACTACCAAGTCAGTATTGATAAAATATATATTTTTATATGTTGATAAAATATATATTCTTTAAATCTTAGCCCTTAATAAAATAAAATAAAAACCAGATTTAAGGACTAAGATTTAAGTGCTAACTCCATGAACATAATATATTTTAGCTAGCCCATTGGAATTATACATGGGTAACTATGGAACCATTTCTCTAATTAGAAATATTCTCTTAATCAAAGCTCCCAAGTCCATTGATATTTTGCAACTTAAAAATAAGTCCCCTGTTAAGAGAAGATGTGGAATTTTAAAGTAAATCATATTAAATAATTATCTACAAAAAACAGTAATCATATCTGAAGACTGAAATGTTTAATGATAGTTTCAAAATCTGTAAGTAGCATTAGCCTTTAGGGAAATGATAATAGAAACCACAATGAGATACCACTTCACACCCACAGAATGGCAATAATAAAAAAGACATAATAAAGATGTAGAGAAATCAGATGCCAATTCTGATTAGAAATAGGTTCTTGGGAGCATTTTATAACCTAAAAAGTTGGTTCCATCCCTCTACTTTGGGGACCCTTTATCTTGATTGAATCCTGTTTAGTATCTTACTTTCTACTTTCTGAGTTTCATTTCTCCAAACCCAAGCTCACAGAGAAGTGGAAGTGGAGATTACCTGGTTTTCTACAGCTCAGGAAAGAGATGAGGTATAAATAAGGACCTTGAGTTTAAATGGAGTAAGTGACAAAATGAGAACTGCCTAGAAACATATCATTCAAATTAGCTGTCAATTCAGTATTTTTAAGTATATCTGCAAGTCATTTCTTAACACTTCTGAAGTAGTCCACAAGTGGTTAAATTAAAATCAAAATAAAAGAATTATTGAGTTAAAAAACAACACTAAACATGGGATTCTGTGCTGATATCTTTTACACAACAGGTCTTTGAAAAAGAATCTGCATAGAACTTGAATTTGTGGCTGATCAGACAGATGCTGAATGTGTTAAAGAAGCTTTCAGTTGGGGAGGGGAAGTGGAAAGAAAAGAAGATCCTTTTTGAAATGTAGGGTTAAAACAAGGCATTTTTATAAGAAGCCTCAGATTCTATGAGGGGGAAAAAATTATTACTAACAAAAGGTTCCTCAACCTTGGTGCTGTTGACATTTTGGACTGAATAATTCTTTGTTGTGGGGTCTATACTGTGTGTTGCAGAGGGTTACACAGGATCCCTGACTTCTACCCACTAGATGTCAGCAGAAACCCACCCCTAGCCCCCTAACTGTGACAACAACAATGTCTCCAGACAACCCCATACATCCTCTAGGGCAGCGGTCACCAACCTTTCGGACCTCATGGACCACCAGTTGGTGACCACTGCTCGAAAGGTTTCCTTAAACCAACAGTCACCAACCTTTCAGACCTCATGGACCACCACTGGTCCGCAGACCACCGGTTGGTGACCACTGCTCTAGGGGATAAAATTGCCGCTAGTTGAGAACCACTGGTCTAACATTTACTTTTACCAGCTAATGTTCCTTTCGTCTTTCAAAATAAGCCGACAAGTATTGCATGGGACATACTTATACTAAAGTAATTAGTCACTGTTTACCTAAAATTTACCTGGGCATCCTGTATTTCTATTTGCTAAACCTGACAACCCTGTGTATGACAGAAATAAAAGAGTAGGGATGCCACAATCTCATGCTAGACGCGTCCCTGCACACTTCCACTGTGCTCATTTAAACAAGCTAACAGATCAAAAAAAGAAGATATATCAGAAATTATTTGATAGGCCCATTCTACTTAAACTCTAGAGATTTTATCATTTGGCCTTACTAATGACAAACTGTGCTACAGTTCTGTGTACTTACCATTGGGATCTTTCCTTAACAGAGTATTCATGACGGTAGCATGGAGTTTCACACTAGTCCACTCTTTCATTATTAGTCCAGATGCCTGAAAACGTTCTAGGACTCGATCAACTAATTCCTGCAGCCTGATGAAATGGAAAAGAGAAGTACAAAAATCTTAGTAAACCCGTGAACCCCTGATTACTAATTCAACATTTAGGAAGCACCTGCTCTGGTCCTATCACTGTACAAGGCCCTGCATAAGAAGAGGAATAAAAGGCCACAGTCCCTACCATCATGAAGCTCATAGCCTTATGAAGAAGGCAGAAACAAATAACTACAAAACATGATGGTGAGTATTCAGGGAGAGATCAACTGTACATGGAGAGGACGAGGTTTTCACAGGAGGTTTAAACATGGTCTTGAAGAAACATGGAAGTTTATTATTTTGAGAATAGACCTCAAGAAGCCAGGCCCAACAGAATTACCTAAAAGAAAGGGCTTTATTGATTCATCTATTCACAGAACCAAAAACTAGTGTGGCTGATGTGTTTCTGCCAGGATCAAGTGAGGTCTGGTACAACTCTAAGGTATTTGCTCACTGGGAAGGAGTACGCATGTGATTATCCCAGTAGCACTGGATACTTACCATTGTTTCAATGAGGTGGAAGTACAGAACCAATAAAGACCCTATATAATAAAAGCCTAATATGCTAAGTGTGGAGAGCGGCTACAGCGTTTGGACAGGTTCAAGCCTCGGACTAATAAGAGGGCACGATCCTCTCATGGCAAAGCCATGTGCAAGTCCCAGCACAATCATAACCAAAGGCTACAGTTGTAAGCTTGACCTTATGGTCCAAACCTGTGGTCCCAGGAGGTTGAGTGATGTGGGCTTGATAGGGTTCAGGTGCATGTAATTGAGTAAGATTTGAAATCTGCAAGAACATTGTAAACATCTTGACCAAACCCTTACTTTGCCTCGTGGAATCTGGCTATAAAGTAAAGACTCGGCTTGCAGGTCGTGGCACTGTCTCTCTAATCAGAGGGCAGCGTCGCACCTAGACCCAGCTTTATTCTCTTGTCTGTCTTTTCTAATCCTTCACCACCCCCTCAGGTTTACCCATGGCTGTGCTGGCACGGCACACTAAGTGTCTGGTTGTCCAGTCGGCTGTTCAACCAATCAAAGTGTAATATGCTAATGATATACTAAGGCAGCTCAACCGCTCGCTATGACGTACACTGACCACCAGGGGGCAGACGCTCCGACTGGTAGGTTAGCTTGCTGCTGGGGTCTAGTTGATCGGGACTGAGTGAGACGGCCGGACACACCTTGGAACCCTCCTACAGTCCCTCCTCTGCTGGCCAACCTCCCGCATCTGTGCCGCTCCCCTTCCCCCCCACCCCGGCCCCAATCATGTACTGGTGGGGTCCCTCAGCCTGGCTGGCACCCTCTTGCAATCCGAGACCCCTCGGGGGATGTTGGAGAGCTGGTTTTGGCCTGATCCTGCAGGCCAGACCAAGGAACCCCACCGGTGGCCCCTAGTCCTATATAATAGAAGCCTAATATGCAAATTGTCCCCTCAGGTGATCATTCAACCGGAGTTTGAACAGTTCAACTGGGAGTTCGACCGCTCGCTCTGATGTGCGTTGACCACCAGGGGGTGGCGCGGAACATGGTGGGTGTTGGCGACGCAGCGCTGGCAGTGGAGGTGTTGCTGGCCCCAATGGGCCCCAACAAGAGCAGTACCGTGGCAGGATGGTGAAGCAGGTAAGCGGGCGGCGCCAGATCAAGGTGGGATGCCAGGCAGGGCTGTGAGGCTGGGGGTGCAAGCTGGGGCCCCATCTCCACAGGCCACCCCGAGGCACCCCACCTGTGCACAAATTTGTGTATCGGGCCTCTAGTAACTACATAAAAGAATATCCACAGCTGCAATTGCATGACTGATTCCCCTTATGGACTCACGTCAGGTGGTTCTGCAGTGGATGAGCTCTACCTTAATGATGGCCACTCATTCTAGTACCTCCACCAGAAGCAATTTCTGCATAAGAAGTCTTCATTCTCCTCAGGTATTTTGCTCAACAGCTTGAAGAATGCCCTTTAACACTTCTTGCAAGGCCAGTCTAGTGATGATGAATTTCTTCAGCTTTTTTGTCTGGAAAACTCTTTATCTCTCCTTCAACTCTGAACAACTTTGCCAGTAGTTCCAACAAGAGGGGTCATTATCCCAGCAAGTATGTGGTGGAGAGGATCTTGGTCCTAGGCCTCAGAATCAGCCATCATCTGTGACCACCCACTCACCTGATGATAAAATGTAGCCTGTGGCTTTTACATGTCATGCCAAAACAGCCACCCGGAGCCCAAATAAGCTCTCACTGAACGCTGGCCCTGACTGGGAGGTCACATCAAAAGACAGAGCAAGCCCTAGCCGGTTTGGCTCAGTGGACAAAGTACTGGCCACAGACTGAAGGGTCCCAGGTTCGATTCCGGTCAAGGCACATACCCAGGTTGCAGGCTCGGTCCCCAGTGGAGGGCAAGCAGGAGGCAGCGGGTCAGTGGTTCTCTCTAATCATTGATGTTTCTCTCTCTCTCTCCCTCTTCCTTCCTCTCTGAAATCAATAAAAATATATTAAAAAAAAAAAAAGATTGAGCAGTGCACCTGGGGACAGAGCGAGGGGAGGTGCCTGCACCTTTCAACCTTTCCCTGGCCTTATTTGAGATTTGTGCTGCATACTCATTGACTTTCCTGGCTCAAAATAATCCTTTATTAGCCACTAATGTGCTAGTGAACAATAGATTTCATATTTTTTAGATTTTATATTTTTTGATGTACTAGTATCAAACATCACCTCTTTTATTGGACTCAAGTAGCCTTGAGACATGTATAGAGTTCATGAATCTTCCACTGCTTCCTGGGCCATGGCCCTGTGGTAAGCAGTGAGCTGCTTCTCCTTAAGCATGGCTGGATGGGTTTGTTTTATGTGAGATGTGGGTCAGATTCACTCTGTGTGGCCCATTTGTGGAAGCTTGCCTCCAGCAGTTGTTCTGGCGGCAGCAGCTGAATTGCTGAAGGCCTATCTCCAAGTGGACAACAGCCTCTGGTCCCCCACCCAGCCATCGTTCACTCACTTAGATGTGAGCAAAACCACTGTCTTCCGCTTGCCCTGCATACGCTGCAGCGAGAAGGAGTCATTCTCCCCTAGGCATTGCCTTAGGAGCCCAAACGATTCTTTTCCCCTTTTGATTTTCAGGTCCCAAAGTTCCAAATTAATCTTAAAATTCTAATTTCTTTATCTTAATTGTTTTTATGAACTACTGTCTGCTAACCAAAGAATATTTATAACATGAGTAAGCCATGATTGATAATAAAATACCCATGTCCCCTCCACCAAACCTCAGAAATAGACAGGACTGGGAGTGAGGCACAAAATTTAAGAGGGTGTCTAAAAATGCAGTAACCAGGATTAATCATGTTTTAATGCAATATATTTAACAATCAAAATTAATGCAAAAAAATCTACAATGAACGGAATATCAAAACTGTGAATGAAGATGGGGTCAGTATTACTGAGTTCCTTTGCCTCAGACTCCAGCACAGCTTGGCATGGGATAACCTCACAGTACCCCAGTTCCTCAGGGCGCTCCCTGTGCTGGAGGTTCCAGCGACTCCTGCTGCCTGCCCCGCATCTCCTGGTGCAGCCTCAGGACCCAGCACTCTTCAATACGCGTATTTCCTCATCTGGCTTTCTCCACTCAGCAACTTGACAGCTGCCACCTCTGGGCCTTCTGTTCCCTGGGCCACAACAGCCACCCTTCCCTCCCTCCACCTATGCAACCATACCCTCCTTCCAGGTCCCAATTCAAATCCTACTTTCCCATGAAGCCTTCATAACCACCCTAACATCCCTATGCCCAGGTACCCATGAGCAGTGACTCTATCCTCCTCTGAAATGCTGCCCCTGCTTATAAGGTGTGCTCTACTTAGGATTCTCAGAAATGGTCCCTTAATTTTCAAGTTTGTCTGTCTGGTTCTCCTACTAGATTATACTAGTGCTTCTTCAGAGCATGAATTATAAAAGGCACTGAATATACAATGCTGAAAAGACATATTCTCTGCCCCCAAAAATCTATTTGGGAAAAAGAAGCAGGAAAGACAGCAAGAAGGAAAATAGCATTTGGACACAAAAAGATGAGTAACATGAGAGAAATTTTAGACACAAGAAAAATACTAACAAAGACACATACGATCATCAATAAGCAGTGCAGCTGGCTGGGGCCTGGAGCAAGTGTAAGATAGTAGAGTATCAAGATGAACTATTAAGGTGGTTTCATACCAGAAGGTCTTGAATACTAGACTGGGGAATATGAATGATTTCAAAAGATGTGAAATGATGGGAGATTTTTAAGCAAGTAAATCCTATGGTATATAGGCTATAGCTTAGGAGGACTAATGTAGCAGTATTTCATAGGATCTATACACACTGACATAAAAGTAATGTCTAGGTAATATTTCATACAAATGAACTGTAGAACAATAAGCATAATGTGATCCCATTTGTGTAAAATAATATGCACAGACAAGGACTCTCAGCAGTATCAGCTCTGCTTATAACCTATTGGGGAAGAAATTTGAGAGAGTCAGGGTAGGGGAAAGAGAGCCATTTAATTTTCACTTTACCCACCTGTAACGCTTTTTTTTTTCATTGATTTTTTTTTTTTTTTTTTTTTGAGAGAGAGAAACATGGATTTGTTGTTCCACTTATTTATGCATTCATTGGTTGATTCTTTTTATACCCTGACCGGGGATCAAACCCACAACCTTGGTATATGAGGACAATGCTCTAACCAACTGAGCTACCCAGCCAGTGTTGCAAGGCTTTATTTTTAGAAGAGAAAACAATGCTAAAAGAAGTCTGGCTGGGAAAGGAAGATAGTACAAACTGGAAGGCAGTACAGTGATGCTGGGATGCACAGCTGTGGGATTAACTCTAATTACATACATACACCTCTCTCATCTTCTTTTCACCAAACTTCTTTTCAACAAAAAGCAGTCTGTCTCCAATTATTTTTAATCGCCTTTGTCTGCCCCATTATAAGTACAGGCTTTACAGTGAAACAGAGCTAGGTCAAACCATAATTCTACCACTT